AAGGTGATGGTTTAAAAATTAAAAGAATGATATTTGATGATTTGTGATAAGGAGAAATCAAGTAAGCAGATAAGATAAAGTGGTTCAACCGAATAAAGATAACCTCAGTATAATTTCAAATTCAAAGGAGCAGATCATCTCCCCAACAAATATATAATCTGGTAATGAACCTGATTGTCGGAGAGCTCTTGACAGGCACCACACCAGTGCCGTCAAGATTCATCGATCTTTTACTCTCTTCGTTGTAGGAAAACAATGTTGTACCAGGCCGCACAGATTTCTTCCCCAACAGCTGGTGCCATCTGTGGGAACGACAATTCCCTTAAATCAATAAGTTACTCGGTTGGGTATATGCGTTTGTGGTCCGATATGGTTACTGGAGAAGAAACATCGTTGCAAATATCTAGTCAAAAGGAAGGGTTGGGTGAACACCCAGACGTCCTAAATGACCAAGAACATATTGCAGCGTTGGAACTACAGGTTCAAACTCAGAATCAGGGTATGGACTAGTTAATCCAACAAAATGCACTGATCCTGCAACATCTTGTCCCAGCCGGACCACCACCTCAATAAGAATTGTCCGACGGACATCCAAATCCTCCCAGTCTGAATGATGGGGTAGAAAACTGGGAGGACCGGGATAACGATTATTCTCACGAGTTCGAGGCAGAACAAAGCCAAGTCGGGAACCAACACAGAGAATCTCCTCCTTCGCCTTCGCGAAATCCCCAGCCTTAGACAAGCACAACCATCTATGTTGAGGAGAAGACAAAAAGTTACCCATTTCGACTTACAGATCTAGGATTTCAAGGCTAAAATAGAAGATGTAAGGCAGGCTATGAAGGGGAAAGGTCTTGCCGCTATATATGATCTGGTGCAGATGACTAACTTACCGTTCAGCCCCGCCGTTATGAAATGCCCCCTGCCTAACAAGTTCAAGATACCCTTATTCGAAAGATTCGACGGGACCAAAGATCCCCTCAATCACCTAAAGACCTTTCAAGCTTTTATGCATTTCCAAACTGTGCCAGATGAAATCATGTGTCGTGTCTTTCCCACGACCCTTAAGTGACCAGCATGAGTTTGGTTCAATAAGCTGAAGCCAGGAACCATCGACACCTTCAAAGAACTGAGTAGACAGTTTGTAAGCCACTTCATTGCAAGTCAAAGACATATGAGGCCGACCACCTACTTGCTGACTATGAAACAACAGAAGGGAGAGTCGATCTGGGAATATATCGCCCGATTTAACACAGAGATGTTGCAGGTAGAAGATGTGGACGATTAGGTGGCTTTGATCGCTTTCATAGGAGGACTCCAAACCTCCAGATTCTTATTCTCCTTGTTAAAAAAGCCTTCCACCAACATGGCAGAGTTGTTAATCAGAGCACAAAAACATATGAACGTTGAAGACGCCATGAATGCATGGAAGGAAAAGGAAAGAGAGGACAAGAAGAAGCCAGCCTCTAACGCCAAGGATGAGAAGGAAACTAAATACAAGAAATCATTCTTCAGTCAAAGCGATAGGACATTTCGTGATAAGGACTCAGATAAGTATGCCAACTACACTCCTCTGAATACGTCAATTGACCATATTTTCTACAGATTCAAGACAACGAGTCTTTGAAATGACCACAGAGGATGACGTCTGATCTAGCGAAAAGATCTCGAGATAAGTATTGTAGGTTCCATCGGGATCATGAGCATACTACAGATGATTGTTTTGACCTTAAGAATCAGATTAAGAATCTGATTCGAATGGGTCACTTACAAAGGTTCGCTGCCAATGAAGGGACCAACTCCAATAATCGCCTTCTGGGGCAACAACTAATTAGAGAAATCAAGATCATCTCTGGATAAATAAACCTGGGATGATGAATCCAACTTGGCTCAGGAGGCTAACGTGATAAAAGTTGTCTCCCAACTGGAATTCGCCTTATCAAGTCATTCCAAATAAAGACTGGGGACATGTCAGTTAATCACTTTAAATGGATGATAACTCTCTCACATGTCAGCTTATTTTCCAATAAAGTCACCATCACCAATAAGATGGATGACCCTCATTTTTGCGCAATAAAATATTATATTTTCAGTTACCTGTGAATGACCTATGTAGTAATGCTTTACAGAAAGCTTACAAAAAACCAAGCTCCCTTACTAAAGGGATTAGGCGAGTAAAGCTCGTGAAAACAGTTCCCTTACTAAAGGGACGAGCTGAATGAAGCTCGCGAAAACTAATTCCCTTACTAAAGGTAGTAAGGGATGAATTGAGTGAAGTTCGTAAAAATTAATTCTTTTACTAAAGGGACGAGCTGAGTGAAGCTCTTAAAAACTAATTCCCTTACTAAAGGGACGAGTTGAGTGAAGCTTGTAAAATTTATTTCCTTACCAAAGGGATGAGCTGATTGAAACCCATAAAATCTGCAAATAGTATGTTGGATTTTCAAAGAAAATCCTGCTTTACATCACTAAGAGTCATTGACCATGGGTTTGAACCCATGCCCTTCCAAAATAGAACATTAATTTGGTATCTGTATTAATTCCACCTTGGGAAGAGTGCCCCGATGTACCGTTTACCTCGAGAACAGTACCCAAGGTGATTGTTGACCTCGGGAATTGTGCCCGGGGCAAAAAAAAAGAAAAGAAAAAAAAAAGACATTTCCAAAACTAGACGAGCAAGCTTGGGAATTGGGGTAACTGATAAGGATAATTTAAATAAGCAGATAAAAGTTCAATCGGGTAAAGATAAACTCAGCACAGTTTCAAATTCAAAGAAGCAGATAATCTTCCCAACAAATCTCGTATAATTTGGCAACGGATAAATCTCCTCTAATCTCCCAACGAATTGAGGGAGAGCCGGTTATAAGAGCGAGACCCTACCAGTCAATCAAGTATGACAGATATATTAAATCCTTGCCTTTCTTTTAGACCTCCGGTAACTGACTTGATCGTCGGAGAGCTCTTGGCAGACACCACACCGGCGTCATTAAGATTCATCGATCTTTTACTCTTTTCTTTGCAGAAAAACGGTGTTATATCGGGCCGCGCGAATTTCTTCCCCAACAATTTGTTTTGACTTGTTATCTGAATTTTTATGAGTAATGAAATACTAGTTAATGAAGATATCTTGTGAATAATAGGAGGAGAAGAAAATAGAAGGATCACATAACAAGAGAAAGGGCTTTTGTAATTGAATCAGAAAATAAGAGGGTAGCTTAGTCATTTTATTTACTAAAAACAAAAAAAAAAAAAAAACAAAAGAAGTTGAAATGCCAGAAGAAGAAGAGTTTGTTGGCAACGGAGACCAATATGTGCCTCTTGGAAACCTAACTTTTTAAAATGTATCTTTTTAATATTCTGTTGAGTCTAGGTTATATGCAGGGGCGGAACCATGTGTGGGATAACCTGGGCTATAGCCCAGGTCCAAAAAAAAAAATATATATATTTAGTACTACTATTTCTTATCAGCCATAGCCCAGCCAAATCAGCCATAACCCAACCCAAGCTGCCCAATTCATAATAAAACATAAATGATAAATAGAGTCCAGGCCAAAAACTGAGCCCAAACAAGGCCAAACCCATTAGGCTGGACCAACCATTATAGACCAACACATGGACGAATTGTAGCTTGAAACAAAGACATACTCTAGGACCCCGTTTCTAGATTCCTCTACATGTAAAGCTATTGTAGCCCATTTGTCTCCTTCCCAATTCGTTCTCTTTGACACACATTTATCAGTTAACCCAAAAACTATTTTGAGTTTCTTTCATTTTGCTTTTGATTCTTATGGGTTTAGATTCATTGTTAGATTTTATTGCGTTTTCATTGGTTTGCTTATTCGTTCAAAACTTGACGATGTCGCTCTTGCTTTTGATTCGGTTAATTGATTTGAAGCTTCTAGTTTTGTTTAATCACACCAAAAATAGGCATCTTGATATAGCCATTGCACTGGTGAATTTGAATACGATGTCCGAGTCTGCTCTTAACAGATATTTGATTTATTGATACATGTCTATTGTACCCAATTCAAATTCGCCAGTGCAGACTCGGACACCGTATGGATTCTGGTGTTTTACATCAAACCTGAGTCATTAACTGAAATTAATTGTAATTAGGGATTTTTCATATACTGCCTTGATTTATATATTTGCTAAGATAATATATATATTACATCATAAATATCAACTCATAATTCTCAAATGTAATCAATCTATCAGTTATCTCTTAGTTATATTAAAAAAACTACATTTAATTAATTGAGTCATATTATTAAGGATCAGTATTTAATTAGTGGAGTTAAGTGGAGTGGAGTAATGCAACGTATTAATTAAAGTTTTTCCCGATGCTAAACAGTCCTTATCTCTCCAAACTCTTTACCTTCTATCCAAATTCCAAATTCCAAATTCTTTACTTTCCATCTAAGTTTCATCTGCTCCTTGTAATCAATCGGACGGTAAAAATTTAATTTGGGCCAAAAATAAATTAAAAAGCTTAGTTAAAATAAAAATTGATATATATTTTTTTTAATAACTTTTTTTGCTTTATTTTTTTAAGTTATGTGCTTTTAGGGCTGTTAAGGCTATGTTTGGCTGACATAAACATTGCCGGTTATAATTTTAAAAATTATTTTTTAAATTTTTTATAACTTAAACAAAATAATTTATCTTTTATAAATACCCCCTTCTCCACATTTATAGCTATTAGGAAATTTTTTTTAAAGGAGAGCGAAAATTCAGAGAGGCGGCTTCGGGAATTGCTGACATGACTTTTGAAATTGAATGCTCTTAAAGTTTACTACAATATTTTTATGTATTTACATTTTACTTACATATTTGCCAAGATAATATATATATATATATTACTATTAAATTATAATTATAAGCTTAGGAGCTTAATAAGTACCTAAAAGTTTCATTACTAACACATTAATTTCTCATCATTTGTTCTCGCTTTTGGGAGGATAAAAGAATCATTGTGGAGTGGAGTTGTTTCTACAATGAGAAAATTTATATTACATCAGAAATATCAACTCATCATTCTCGAATGTAATCAATCTATCAGTTATCTCTTGGTTATATAAAAAAAAAAAAAAAAAAAAAAAAAAAAAAAATACATTTAATTAATTGAGTCATATTATTAAGTATCAGTATTTAATTAGTGAGTTAAGTGGACTAATACAACGAATTAATTAAAGTTTTTCCCAATGCCAAAAAGTACCTTATATCCAAATTCCAAATTCCAAATTCCAAATTCTTTACTTTCCATCTAAGTTTCCTCTGCTCCCTGTCCTTCTCTTTCTTTTCCTTCCATTTCCTTGTATCCAAACACGAATCACCACCAACATTTACCGTCCGATTGACACACTCCCACAATCGGAGCCCCCAAACCACCAATGGCCACCAAAGCGCCACCTCTCCTCCTCCTATTCACTCTGCTCCTCATCACCACCCCACCCACCTCCCATTCTCTCCTACTCTCCCAATTCCAAACCCTCTTCTCGCTCGCCCACTCGCTCATGTCCCGCGTGGCCAACCTCCGCGCCTCCCGCGGCGACCTCGCCGGCTCTGAACGGGCCAGATTGATCGCCCGCAAGCTCGAGCCGGGACTTGGGTTAGGGTTTTGGGGCGCGATGGGGTCCATGGGTTGGGACTACGTGAGGAACTACGCGTGGAGAGATGTGGCCTCGTCTGAGCTGTTTGGAGCTGTGTCCGACATGAACGAGTTGCTGAGGTCTCTGAACGGGTTGACTCGGATGGAATCGGAGAGGGAGAGAGCGGCGTGGGTTGGCGGAAATTACAAAGCTGTCCTTAGGGCTTCGAACTCTCTCTTCCAGAGGCTTCTGAAAGTGTTTCGTCAATCGGTAAGGTCTCAATTTTTGACAGAGGAGGTTAGAGCAAAATTTCAAAACTTAACAATACCATCTATAAATTTGTTAAACTGCAAGGGAGGTCGGTGTAAATTGTCACACTCCAATTAAAAAAATTATTAAATAATCTTAAAACATGAACTTTTGGTGTTCCAATCCAATTAAGAAAGTCAACCCACAAAAGTGTAAGAGAAGTGATGGAATCCAATTGTCTGATTCTAAATGACTTTCTAAAGTTTAATGGTGTATTATAAAGAAGTGACTTTCTAAAGTGTAATATTGTATTATAAAGAAACGAACATTAATTGTGATTGGAGTGGACCATCAATTGATAGATGGTTAAAGATTATGTAATAATTTTGTTCGGAATGTAGGTTCTAAAACTTTTCAACTCAAACCTATTATGAATAACGAAAATAGCCTGCCTCTCTACTCCATTCGAAGATTGGGTTGAAGTCAACTTAGATTGGTGATTGAGTTATAGTCCTAATATCTTTTGGTATATGAAAATAGATTACTGAATTTGTATACTAATAAAATGTTATGCTACATTATGAGAATATGATTTGTCTCAGATCTAACCCTTAAATTGAGAATGCTAGTAGTGTGATTTTTATCCCTCGGATAACGTTATCAAAGGCTGAAGGCGTTAGACGTCCTTTGGAGGCGAGGCGCGCCTGAAATATATAATTATTATGAAAGGATATTAATATTCCCAATTAAAGGCATAAGTCCAATGGTCTGAATTTTTGTTTTCTAGACAGCATGTCCTTTATGTAAAGTAAATTTGATCTAAATTTGTCTGAAATTATAAATGGTTTGAATGTCTGTCGGGGACCGTTGAGGGAAATGGTAAAGACAGTGCAAAAAGAGGTGGTGGAGGGTGAGTTATTGATGGACTGCCTGGAATTGGGCAGCAATGATTTGAAGGGCTTAATTCAAGTCTTCAGAGATATTGCTTTACAGTTCTCCTCTTCTTCTGACAGGACTGATCTATGAGGGAAGAAGAGTAATGCTATAATGTCCGGTTGCATTTTTGCGCGTCTCCAATAGATAGTGTCCAACGAGAACTGTTAGTCAGGATGGACTTCGGTAACAAAATCTGATCGGAACTTTTATCAAACCGGATCTTATTACTTGTAATGTAAACAAACATCAAAACAGATCAAGCCTGATTTTTTTTTTTGAGATAGCTAGCTATGTGTAATTAGTTGTATTTACATTTTAGAAATGGATTGCTTTTAAGATTTATTTCCCATAATGTAATTTAAGCATGTGGTTTAGTTTCTTTTGTGTGTGTGTGTAAAAGAAGCATTGAATTAAAAATTAAAAATTAAAAATGAATTAACTTTTTTTTTTTTATGTAACTGGAGCCACTGAAGAGAGGTCCGAGTCCTTCCTACGATGCATTCCTTTTTTAAATCATATTGAATGTTTGCTTAGAAAATATGATAATTACCACCAAATTATAGTTTTTACGTTTTAGCAAGTACTACTAAATTATAGTTTTTAGTGAGACTTTTTATGATTGCACAAAAATCTTATGTCAAAAGACGAATATCGGATTCTAATCAATATTAGATTATCAAATTCGAATCAGAATCCGTTCCACTGATAAGCGTGTTAAATTAGGTCTTGGATGAGCCGTGGCACTCCAATTCTGCCAAGACAATATGTTAATGGGCCAGATATATTGTAGAACCAATTCAATAACTGAGCTCGTTTGTACAAGCCTACTTCGTTCCATCATTCGGATGATGGGTACCAAGCCCAAAGATTCATGTTATTGGGCTTTTGGATGAAATTAAAACCCAAAAAATGTAATTGCGCAGCTATATTATATAGGATTTACTTTTATTGAATGAAAAGAAAAATTAGTCTTTGCCTTAAACAAGATTAATCTGAAATTCCTCACCCCCGCCACCACCCTCCCCCCCCCCCCCCCCCCCCCCCCCCGGCGGCCGCGGGCGGTAAAGTTCAAGCAAATAGACATACTTTTATTGTATTACTCATACAAGTTTCAAACGCTTAATTTCTTCCTTGAGAGGAGAGATCATACCATCTAGACTAATGGCCGTTGATCTAGAACACAAATTTTTTTAACATCAAATTATTCGTGTTTTTTTTTTTATTTTTTATTTTTATTTCACATAAGCGCAATATATGATATTAGAAGGGACATAATTTTGAATATTATCATGTTTGTTTTCTCCCGGTGATAAAAATGTACTAACAATTAAAACTATAGTGCTTTATTATTTTGAGAAAAAAAATAAAAAATTGAATACTGTTGAACTATCAAACTGTGGAGGAAGTTATGAACTTGACACACACTCACGCACATATACATATATAATATACTGAATTTAAAACCTTGATCACTTATAAATTATAAGCTTGCTTTATTTTGTGTATGAATTATTCTGGTAATTGATCAAAAAAATCTCTATGCATCTTCAAAAGACTGAGGCCATGTTTGTTGATTTTTATCATTATCCATCCCATGATTAATCACTTGTAAAAAAAGGACTTCTTGTGAAGCCTTACAGTGCTTTTTACAATACGAAGGCAAAGGATGGTTTGACAAATTTTTTATTTTTCTTTGCCTTTTATTTTATAACCAACCTACCCCCACCTACTATTGAAAAAGTTGCTTATCCACAAGTGACGATGGATTGCTAATAAGTTGCACCAAACAGGGACTTATTTTGGAAGGTGCATGCAGACCAATTTAAGAAGCAGACCATGGAATATGGTACCCTTGTGGTGTCCCACATGCTGTGAAAGATTTGTCATACCAAAATACGTGTAATGATACAACTGATGACAGTAATTGTATGTATTTTTTGTACTTCGCTTTATCTAAAGATTTATCATAAATTTATTCAAGATTTATTAAATTTTGAATACGAAAATAAGAAATACAAATAGGAAATAGGAAAAGGGAAGAGAAAAATATGGAAAACTCAAGCATATATATGGTTTGGCACCAAGGTCTATATCTCACTAAGAGCTACATTTTTATTATTCAGATCTGTATATTGTTTGAGTACAAGGAGTCTATATATAGGCATAATAAAGATAAGAATATATAAAAGGTGCACAATAATTAAAGGAATAATCATAATTGGTGGAGAATTTTGCTCCACAATTATATAAAAATATTTATATATTTCAGATTGATATTTTATTTTTAATTTTATTTTTAAAAAAGGCACGCATAGAAGGAGCTAAACCCGAACCTGCCCAACTTTGATGCGGAGCGGGTTTGGAAATGAAACTGGATGTTGTGGGATCAGAGGAATCTGTCCAAAACTTAAACCGTTTTGAGATTTGGCCCATTTGGGTAACTTGTCTCGAACTAGCCCGGTTCATGTTCTAAGAGTAATTGGCCTAAATTGTAGTAAAATTTAATATGTATTTTAGTCATGTTACTGGAGGTCATTCTTGCCGTGCGTAATAGTCATAAACTCATCACATGCAATGTCCGTTTAAGAGTTACGGTCTCTTGATCTAATTGTCAAGGGACATGTTCGTGTGAAAGTTCTCTCGTGATCATTTTTTTATATTTATAATTCATAATTTGCAGTCGCGATGTAATGAACTTATGCGAATATCGATGTAAAATTGTCGAATCTATTAGTTCATGAAAGTCATGAAAATATGTAATAGCATTCGATCTTTGAAAAAAAATTACGTATCAATCAATACCACAAACCATATTTCGAATAATAATAGAACTTAATTGTATGTCATGGTCCGTGTATCACTGCTCATATTCAATGAAAAGTTATTACGGACTTTTGTCAAAGTATAATTATTATGCACATAATGCACTGATCGAGTTGGGTTTCATTTTAATGCATTCAAAAAATGAGAGACATTGCATCTTTAATTGCGGTTCATCACCTCTGAATCACTTTTTGCCAAGAGAAAGACTTGTTTGATAGCATAATTACTATATAGTATATATATCTTCCATGCACATATTTTGACCATTATGACTAATGGATGGTGAGACTTTGACAAAACTAATTGCGTACCTACCATGCACTTTTAGGACCCATTTTCTTCTGAACTAATGCATTCAAAAGATATTAATTTTTTATTAAACTTAAAGTGGGGTATGGTGGAAGAAATTCCCCATATATTGTGCACAAAACACTTGTTTCTATTTAGTGAACACATTAATCGCTCAACATATGACAAATATGTGTAAATCGCCCCCCCAAAATTAAAGTAGGGTATAATATAACCGTCAATGATATACCCTTAAAAGTAAATGATAGCAATGCATGCAATATATATATCCTGATCGTAAATATGTCCAGTGGAATTTAGCCTAAGACTATTCCATCTCGAGTCCGGTATTATATGTTTGTGTGTGTAGAGAGAGAGAGAGTACAATTTCCTATCTTAACTGAGAGTTCTTGCTATAAAATCCTCCTCCCTACAAATGGATTTCAGCCGAAAGCTGCATTAAACAGACAGATCGAAAGCCACTGTGTTCAAAAGTACTTGAATCACAACTGGTCACAACTATTGCTGCTAAAAAGTTCATAGTCGTCTCATCGGAAAAAAAGAAGAAGATAGCTGACCTAATGCCATTGAAAAGGTCGGCAATGACAGCTTAAACCATTTAATACACTAAAAATTTTCTGATTCAATCATGTCGGAGATGAAGTTGTTCATAATTACACATGAATGGTCGTCGATCTATATTATGACCCATGTTACTCGGCATGACCAATTCAAGTCCAAACATTTATTTCAATGGGTCAACTAGTCCACCCACCCCTACCCAATTATTTCATCATGCTATGGTAGATACTGTTCCTTCATAAAAATGTGCAATCCTAAGTCCAGGTTGTTGATCATTAGCTGCTATACGCCGTTGGATCTATCGTCGTCTTCATTTTCAACGGTTTGATGGACCGTATTGTGCCCTAGAGTCAACGTGCATGTCTGTATTTTGGGTCCATGGAGATTTCCCTTTCAAATCATCTATCTTTTTTGCCCATTCAACTGTGGCTGTAATGCAACAATGGAGAGAGAAAAAAAGATGAACAGTGAAGGAGTCAAAATGTTGATTAGCTGTTATACGACAATTACAATGCATGGCTCCATCAAGTAGCAAATTAAGGGGTCGAGAAATGGGTGTCCTTGTCATGATGCAGTGGATCTTACGCTATTCCTAGTTAAGAGCCCTTATAATTTAAATAGATATATATGAGTCACATTGTGCATATATCACTTTAGGTCAAATTGCTCTAAACTCTCCTTATTATCAGAAATTTACAAGATACTCATTTTAGCAAACACTCTTAATTTATCAAAAGTTACAGATATTCTCAACTTCTCATTTGTAAAATCTATTGTAAAAGATAAAATGAGCATACTTAAAAGTATTTTCATCAAAACAATCATTCCATTTATCTCGGGTGTTTCATATATATGACCACTTTTATACCATAATTTTAACTTTTGGTTGTCAAAATGAGTATTTTAGAACTTTAATTTTGATAGAAGAGAGCATAGTGCAATTTGGCCTTCACTTTTACCTATTTTGGCTGTAAAAAAATATATATCTTATTTTTATTTTTTATCATCTTGACAAGATACACAAACATGCATTTTGTCCACTTTGACCGTTCTAATAATAATAAAAAACATGGCTTTGGGAAGCATTTTTGAAATGATACCTTACCTTTAGATATTTATATTTGTGAAAAATTATCATAGTATAATGTACATTATTACTTCGTAATTTATAAATTTTTGAAATATTCACTTATACAGCGCTAGACATGCAGTTCGACCCACCGACAACTATGCTTAGTATTCCATGTGATTAAAAGCTTATTATAGCCAACGACTGCAAATCTACACAGTATCGTACTTTGGACTGTAAGTGACATTATTCATGAAATTCAATTCCCATGCATTGCCAAAAACTAAAACAAAATTATTCAAAGAGTGAGTACTGAGCCGCAGTGCGGCTATCACGTTATATATCCGCGTGAAATAAATGCATCTATCTACCTCCTCAACTGTAATCTTTATAAGCTAAGAAAATGACCACTCCGTCTCATCCAAACACTCTGTCTCTCTGCTAGCTCCTATATAAATACACACTCGTAGCTTTTAATTTCATCACACACACCATTCCATTCCTTTTGGATCATATCACTTCTTGATCACCACCTTTATTAATTTATTTGCTTCTCTAGCTACACACACAAACACACACATATATATATCATTCTCTTGTGATATATCTTGTGTTTAGACAATGGGTGGTGATCATGAGGTTGTGAAGAAATGGTTGGTGGTGAACATGTGCGTGGTGGTAGTGGTGATCATGAATTGGGGTTTGTTTGGGGTTGGAGCACAGCCTCAAGTGCCTTGTTACTTCATTTTTGGTGATTCATTGGTTGATAATGGGAATAATAATGCAATCAATTCATTGGCAAAAGCCAATTACATGCCTTACGGGATTGACTTCCCCGATGGACCAACTGGGAGGTTTTCTAACGGAAAGACTACAGTTGATGTCATTGGTGAGCTTCTCTCTCTCTCTATACATGCATAAATATCATCTATTTAATAATTAATAGCTTTAGAGTCTTTAGAACCCTTTTTTTTTTTTTTTTTGAATAAATTAGAGTTAGGCCTTTCCGTTAGACTATTAAAAATGAATAACAATGTCATACGGTATGACTTATTTTTTATTTTATTTTTGGGGCGACTCCAATATCAAACAGAAGAAATATGGATTGTAACTTTATATTTAAAATATTTGTAGCTAAAATCATTAAATTGTAACTTGTATATTTAAAATATTTGTGTCGGTAAAATCAGACTTGACCCACCTTTAATTTTTCCTATTAAATTCTATAAATTTAGGTGGGTCACATGGACCAGACACATCAAGTAATTACATGTCCTGGCAGAGGTTGAATTTGTGTCATTCCTACCTAACAGGGGCCATAACACACACACACACACACACACACACAAAACAAAAAATTGCATGTTTGCATGGTACACATATATGGACTGCATGTTGCGATCAAATCAAGTACATGGTGTCTATTATATGTTGTCCAAGGCATGCAAAATATATATGCCCAAACCATGCATTAATTAGAGATGGTCTCATAACACTTTGATTTTACAGATACATATTATTATAATATTTAGGATAACTACTATAACATTATATAACAAGCTTAATAAATTTAATATATTGCTATATATCTACAGCTGAGCTTTTGGGCTTCGATGATTATATTCCTCCCTATGCATCTGCAAGAGGTCAAGACATACTCAAAGGAGTTAATTATGCATCAGCAGCTGCAGGAATTAGAGATGAAACTGGACAGCAATTGGTAATCATCTCTCTCTCCAAATCTGCAATCTCTCATTCCCTATCATATTTTTTTTCTTCGTCGAGTTTGGATTTTCTGCCTACAACACGCGTGGAAGGTTAGAATCATTCACAAGTGTGGCGGAATGTCTCATTTTCTATCATACAATACCAATTAAGTCATTGTTTTTCGTCGAGTTTGCTTTCCTCTATAGAATATCACACGTGGACGGTCAGATCATTCACACATGTGACGCTCATACGTAAGTATGAATGATTCTGACCGTCCTTACTGTTTCAGTAATGTGTTGCAGCCTCTTCATAATAGTTTTAATATGTCTTTCAAATTACTTAACACAACCTCGCTCTCTTATTCGGGATTGAGGCCAACTGTGGAAAGAAACAAGAACGGAATTTCTCATTCCCTATTGTGCAAAACTTATAATTACTAATGATTACACATACATGTATGTGTGTTATGGTTATAGGGTGGGAGGATTAGCATGAATGGGCAAGTAAACAACTACAAGAACACAGTATCTCAGGTGGTGGATTTACTTGGTGATGAGGATTCAGCTGCAAATTATCTGAGCAAGTGCATATACTCTGTTGGATTGGGCAGCAACGATTACCTTAACAACTATTTCATGCCTCAGTTTTACTCCAGCAGTCGCCAATATACTCCTCAACAATATGCTGATCTTCTCGCTCAACAATATTCCCAACAACTAAGGGTTAGTACTCTTAATTCTTGCATCTAAGAGTCTAACCGAGATTTATCCAATACATTCAAGAGATAGAACTCTTATTATCATTCTCGGTTTGAATTTTTATTCTAAACAGTATTTTCAAAAATTACGCCCTTTGTATAACTTTCTATTGTTATATATCTCTATAGTTGCAAGATTTTTAAAATAATCAACTGAAAGATAATTGACTTTCCTGTTTGTGGCATCAGACTTTGTACAACTATGGAGCAAGGAAGGTTGTTGTGATCGGAGTGGGCCAGATAGGCTGCAGCCCAAGTGAATTGGCCCAAAACAGCCCAGATGGTTCAACGTGTGTAGAAAGAATCAACAGTGCAAATCAAATGTTCAATAACAACCTCAAGTCTCTTGTCAACGACTTCAACAACAATCTAGCTGATGCAAAATTCATCTACATTAATGCTTATGGAATTTTCCAAGATTTAATCAACAGCCCTTCATCTTTTGGTAAATTATTCTCAACACCCTTCCTCTATACATAATCATTTCATCAAATTTGCAATTAATTACAAAGTACTTTAGAATCCGACATTGGGATAACTTTCATGGGTGGGTTTGATGTCATGATATCAGCCTCCACTAACATAAAAACAGTTTGAAAGTTGTTCAGACTATCGAATTCCGTATTATAATTCTTTTGTAAATATTGTTGTATACAAATGTTTATGTATATTTGCTTTGTTAATTTCAGGTCTTAGGGTTACGAATGCGGGGTGTTGCGGTGTAGGGAGAAACAATGGTCAAATAACATGTCTACCTCTTCAAACTCCATGCCAAAATAGAAATGAGTATTTGTTTTGGGATGCATTTCACCCAACAGAAGCTGCAAATGTGGTTGTTGGTAGGAGATCATATAACCCTCAATCTTCATCAGATGCTTACCCATTCGGCATTGCTCGCTTAGCTAAACTCTGAAGAAAGAGATGATCTAAGTATGAAATTTTCGTATTATTATATATCTGTATCACTATTGGTATTGTTATAGTTGTTGTCATTGTTTTGAAGAACAAATGTCGTTGTGTTGCAATGTACTTCAATGAAAATTATTGGAGTTTTAGCTCAACTCTGAAGAAAGAGATGATCTAAGTATGAAATTTTCATATTATTATTTATCTGCATCATTGGTATTGCTATGGTTGTTGTCATTGTTTTGAAGAAGAAATGCTATTGTGTTACAACTCCAATGGAAATTATTTACTTTAGTGGCGTAGCTTTGGGGTTCGGACTATAAGAAGAGAATGAAATTTAAACCATAAATTAAATAAATACAAAATTTAATTGTTGATTAATAATTTTTTCATTTAGCACAAATATAATACTCGTCAAATTGCCCCAGTAGGTTAGTGTCTCCGATAGGCTTTAGAGTGCCAGGTTTCGATTCTCTCATCTATTAATCTAACTTTTAACACTTCTTGCCTCAAAAAAAAAAAAAAAAAAATGCTCGTCAAATTTTCACATCTTGCGTGATGACCTCACCACTTAACCAGTTCCAACATAATCATCCAAACAGAGAATACAAAATCTCTAAGGCTCACACTTATTTTTTATATATACAATATATATATCTATATATATATATATAAATATATTTATTTATTTAGTTTACAATACGGTCCTGATGAACTTAAACTGGAACTGTAAACTAATTTTTTTTTATTTTTGGAACCGAAACCAGAATTGAATCGTATCGAAGATTCGATCCGTATATTTTTTGCGTTCTTGAATATTGATTGAGTATTGAGAAACTGATTAAAAGAGGAATTTTTTTAAAGTGTTTTTTTGCATCAATGAAAATTAGTCCAAATGATACAAGTTCTATTCTCCACTTAGGGGAAAAATTATCAGTGTGCGCTTTTTCTTGAACTTCTGAAAAATTATATTCAAGATAAACAAAGGCAAAGGGGCATAACCCCTAGAGAAAACAGAAAAGCGTAAAATGGGTCGAGGCCCAACACAATAAAATGACAAAGAAACTAAAACAGGCCACTTAAAAGCCCCCAAAAAAGGGCTTAAAACAAAGGCCACGAGAAATGGAGGACCTGAATAAGACCTATGGCATATCACATATGCCCAATTGAATATAAGGCCTATATCATCAATTGGATTTTTTTTTTTTTCGAAAGTTATATTATCAATTGAATTCCATGATACAGAATCCATAACCGGCCCATCATTATCCAATTCCATCATTTATTGTTTGACATAAAAGTAATATAAAAACATCCCACAAGTGGAATAATTGGTTGATTTGAACAGTATGATATAATTTTTTTTCCCCCCTTCCTGATGACAATCCATTAGCTAACCATTTTAATTACAGTTAAATTAATAATGGCAGGTCACATGGTGCCTATAACGTGAACATTGAAAGGTCAAACAAACATTGCCAACGTAGCTAATAAAGTAATTGATCATACGGCTCTTTAAAAAGTCAAGAATAGGCCCACATGACCATAACTCTCTGTACAAAAAAACTACCTCCTTGAGATCACGAAAAAACAATTATAACATGTCAAGGTTGAAGAGTATTACTCTCGAATCCAAACAGGATTAAATTGAGGGGGCATGGTGTAAAAAAAAAAAATTCAATAGACATAATAATAAAAATAGAGTCTTCAAATCAATCGGTAAAGAATAAAATTACTCAAAATAATATGTCAATTAATGAGTCGTTTAAGAAAGATAAATAGTTAACAAATATTTTAAAAAGGAAAGAAAAATGAGAGAATTTGAAAGGGAAAAAAATTGAACTTTGATTTAAAAAGGAAAATTTGACTTTTTTGTTTTTATTTTTATTTTTTTTAAGGAAATTAAACCAATTTAAAGAGTAATAAAACGAAGAAATACAACATTAGAGATAATACAACATTAGAGATAATTTTAAAAAATAAAAATTTCTAGGGGGCATTATATGAATTTTTTTTTATATATACATATAAAAATACATAAATTATGTGTATATATTATAGTAAGAGGGGCTAGGCCAGAGGGGTATGCCCCTTGGGCATACATTGGCTCCGCCCTTGAACCCAAAGAAAACCTTGAGATCATGTCAGGTTGTCAAATCCAAAGAGTATAACCTGCGAATCTAAAGAAAACTTTGACATTGATCATGCCAGGTCATCAAACCTCAACGTGATTCTTGAGTCCAAAGAAAACTATAATGTCATGTTAGATCACTAAATCTCGAGAGTCAGATTTTCGAGACCAAAGAAAACCCTAACATCATGCTAGATCATCAAATTAACCTCAAAAGGCATGACCCTCAAGTCTTAAGAAAGCCTTGGCCCTAGTTACCAAGTCTAGAGAACCAATATGTGGCATTTCACGTCCTCGAGCCAAAGTTATAAAGTATAAAATGAGATAAAAGACGTACATGACCTTCTCGCGTACAATTTGGGATACTTAGAAGGATTTTGATTTTGTGGGTGAGAAGTCCAAAAATGTCTAACAAGCCTAGCTAAAGGGATAGTAAACATATGCGATTGCAGAAACTCTTACAATTACCATTAATGCCTCAATCACCGCTTTTTCTCGATCGAATGCATTTAACGTTTGCATGAGAAACTTAACACGCTATGCCCTAAGAAAATCATAACCTATGACCTTAGGGATTGGGTAAGGACCAACTCCATCAAGAATCTCTAGGAATTACCCAAAAAATCTAGGATTATAAATACTAGTACAAGGCAAGTATTAAAGGCAAAACAAGCTCACATGGCAAGCAGTATCTCTCATGAGGACAAGTATCTCTGCTTTCACCATAAATCTCATTGGTTAGTTTACTTTTTTTTCTTTATCTAACTCATCTCTCGGTCTCTCATATTTGTGTTAGATATCTACATTTATTACATTTCATTTAGTGCTCCGCCAAAGAATCGTCATCTAGCTATATTTTTGCACATGTTTCACATCTCTTCATTTTGAAATTCATTTACATTCTACATTTCTATTTAATTTGTATGCATCTAGTCGCGTAAGGGCAACATGTTGAAATTCATTTACATTTCTATTTAATTTGTACCATCGAGTCGCGTATGGGCTACATAGCCTACATGGAAGGATGCAAGAAATGGTCTTCTTAATATTGTCATTCATGACCTTAGTCACACAATTCGTCCAAAGTAGTCCCGTTCTCACGACAAATTCGTGAATTCAATTTTTGTAATTCACCAATTAGGATTCCCGATTTTTATACTAATTCACTTTATACAGTTAAATTTGTTAGTGATATAGAACACCTATATTACCATATATGCATTTATTACTTACATTATTACTCAATATATTGATTAATTATTTAAACTGCACGTGTGTTGTATTGGCATAGTTATACTACCATATATATTTGAAAATGTGCTACTAAAAAAAACTTCTCAATTGGAAAATATTACAAATAAACCACGCATCTATTAGTGAAAAAAAAATAAATAATAATGAATATATTTACATATGAATTTAAATAAATAAAAAAATACAAAATATATATGTCATGACTTTATATAATTTTATTTAAACCTAATATACAGACACTTTTAAAATGCTCCCGCTTTCAAAAAAATTTAGACTTTGACGCTTTCGCTTTCGCTCTTCCTCTTGCTCTCGCTCGACGCTCTATGTGACTTAGTTCATAACATAACATAATAGTATTAGATCGACATGACACAAATATGATGTAATAATACGAATTATTACCATTACATACTATTTATTTATAATTACACGTTAAGAGGTTGTGATAATATGTAATTTTTGTATCGAGGTTGTGACTCTTTTAAATGTAGTAAGTTAACGAGATAAGATTGATCCATATAAAGAAATTTTTTATTTGAGTGAGTTAAAACATGCTTGCAAACCTAAATAATACGCTATGCCGGCGTATATCATAACACAATCTTTCTTGTATCTTCGACTTTAGAACATGCCCCCACACATTCAAAGTTCAACATGTCTACCCCCTAATAACACGGCATTACTTCATTGAATTTATCCTCTTTCACCACAGAGTGGTTGTGTTTTTGTGTGTATTGCTGCTTGGGGAATATTGATTATGATATGTATATCCACCATCTTAAAGCCCTCATGCTTTTCATTGTAAAACGCTAAACTAATACCTCTCAACAAACCATACACTCTTCTAATACCTAACGCAAATTCTTCATTCATAGTGGGATTCCTAGTTATTTTGCTGCACGATGAATTTGATTTAAATACATGTAACTTTCATTCCATGACAATATCTTTACTAAGAAAAAGAAAAGCTCAACACACCTCTCAATTCGAGAAAACTTAACTAGAAGGATAGTGATTCTTGAATGATGAATTTAAATCCTATGCAAATATTATATTCTGCTAACTAGAATGTCCTAACCTTATGGGAAACATTTCATTATTGGTTATAGTGCCTTTTACTCTTCAATTCAATTATTGTACTTTTTTATTCTAGTTTTTGTAATTGATCAAAGTCTGAGCACAAGAGAATGTTTAGACAATTAATATTAAACTCTGTCCAACCTCATCTTAAATGACTCAACAGCCTGTCTCTAACCCTTTTTTATTTAATTATACAAAAAGACCTTGATATACTAACCGACTGCGTGGTCCAAAATTCATGTGGGTTTGGTGAGTTTTGTGGAATTAATTATCATTTTTCTTATAAAATGCAATCCTTCATACTGCTACATTGTTAATTTACTGGAATCTAGCTAACAGACTTATTACAGGTGGAATATATTAGTCATTTAAATAAAAACTCTTCAAAACAAATTGGCTTACAAAAAAAATTCCAAAAGAATAAACTAACGCAAAGTTTGAATTTTCTTAGAATCACTTTCGAATTTTTTTTCGATAGTTATACCGTATATATGAAATGGGAGAATTGATGTGTGTTCAGTAATAGATTATGAAATACTCTAAAAAGCATTACACTACCACACAATCGGTTAAAAAATCAAGAGATTTATGTTAACTTTAGGATGCAAAAATACAAGATGTAAAATAAGAAGATGGAAGAGAGAAAGTTGGAGAACACAGTATATACATGGTTTGACACTAAGGCCTAAATCCATGGATCAAGAGCCACTAATGTTACATTTCTCTTATTAATTCTTGATAAGTTTACATTGCATTAATACACAATACATAAGAAATAAAGTTGACAAAAAGAATAAATCAAGGAATCAGAATATAATATATATATATATATATATAAAAGAAAAGAAGGGACAAGTAAACAGAATATAATCCATGTATATAATATATATTTCAATATTATATACGAGCGTTCTTTCAAGGTGACGTAATTCATGGTTTGTTGAGTTGCCAAGAGAGTGGACCGAGCCACCATCAAAACAAAAGAAAGTCCCCAGTCTATCATTCTAGGATGCAAATGATTCCACTCCCACTTGATATTATTTAATTTTATGCCAAACTTCAATACCTCTCACAACGTGGGAAAAGAAAAAAAGAACATCTCTCATAACCTCCAAGGGAATAGGGAAAAGACAACAAAAAAATGAATAAAAATAAGGCTGCCAAACACTTCAAGTCCACTTCCTTCTAGGCCTTAGAACTTTTCTTTTCCTCTATATATACTCCTCCTCCTCCGTGTTTCCCATCTTCTCACACCAACTACCTCTTCTCTTTCTACTTTCTTTTCCTTTGATTGGCTTTCTGTTCTTTCCATCAATGGCTTGTGGGCTTAATGTGTTTTCCATCATAACCTTAATAGTTGCCAACTTGAGCCCATTGGCTGGTGGTGCACCACAAGTCCCATGTTACTTCATATTTGGAGACTCATTGGCCGATGATGGCAACAACAATCCCCTCCTTAGTCTGGCTAAAGTTAATTTCCCGCCCTATGGGATTGATTTCCCTGATGGTCCCACAGGCAGATTCACCAATGGCCGAACTACAGTGGACATAATTGGTCCGTTTTTCTTTCATAAAATAGATGCCATTAAATTCCTTTTTTTATTTATTCATTTGCCTGTGGTATTTTTTTTCTTTTTTATTTAAATTTATTGCTTTTTTTTTTTTCCCCCTTTTTTTGAGGGCCTCTTCATGTGAGGTTTGCCCGCTCATTCATTGAATTGAATGCGTGATGAGAGTGTTTTCATCATAACATTATTCCTTCTTTTATCCTCGTTACCACGTTTCGATACTCACTCCAAAACATATTGGGTAGAAGAATGATTATGAAGCCTCTTCGAATTGAATACAACAAGATCTCTTGATCAATTAATACTGAGAAACCTAAAGTCAACTTGATTTTTTTGAGTGGAATTAAATATATTTCTAACTTGTTAGAAATGACCAATCTAAAATATCACTCGTTTTCTACAATCATTTTTTATATTATTATTTGTTTTAGGTTTTTTTTCCAAGGCAGCAACTAGCAAGCTACATTGTGATCTAATCACAAATAATAATAAAAATTAATAAATAAATAAAAAGGTAGATAGCCCTTTTTTATATAAAATTTATTTATTAAATAGTACTGGTACAACTGCATTATGCATAAAAGGGAAATTTTTTCCCTTTTGGTAGGTAAGTTCCTAAAACAACTGTATATCATTACTTTATAAGGTGTACAACTCAGGCTCAACCAAGGCTCCGTAATCTAAGCTCAACTCATGTTCAAAATTTTGACTTCGGATAAAAAATAGGGCTGATCTAGGTTAGCCTCGGGTGGGTTACATAACAATTCTAATAGTATAATATATATATATATATATATATATATATATATATATTATAATTAATTTTTCAATAAAATTCACCAAAGGAAGAAGTCAACATCAAGACTTCAAATGCCACAATTCCACGCAGCTTACTAAGGCCATAGTATGACAAGCTAAACTACTCTTATTATTCTTTTATCTAATTTGAAGTCAAACATAATATATTAAGCAACTCTTAAGGCTTAAGATGTCACAAGGTTTATATTTATTTTGCAAATAAATTTTGTAAATTTGGGTATTCCATTTGACATTTTCTTTACGCGTGAAGATATTTAACATTTCAAATAATGATATGAGTTATCATGGATTCATTTAGTTTTCAATTGAATGGGGGCCTTTATCATTTTTCTTTCTATATATATTTGAAAAATCACGTACACTCATATAAACATGCACATTATTATAGTAAAAAGTAGGAAAAATTCCCACCAAGTCCTAACTTTTTCATTTAAAAACAAATAAGTCCAAAACTTTTTCTTTAGTACTAATAAATCATACTTCTCTCTGATTTTTTGTTTCTTTCCCTATTTAAGTCTTAAATCACTACATTTTCCATTTATGCCAACAATAATTACTTTTCTTCAAATTACCAGGCGTGTCTTGAATATTTGTCCATGTAAAATTTCTAGTTAATTCTATAAATTTCCATAATTTCCGGTGAACATGAAAGTGCAGCTTCAACATCTACTTTTAATTTGTTGGAATTTAAGTAGTGTCTATTTTATTTTTATGTAAATAGCGAAATTAATTCATATAGATGCTAAAGCTTCCTTCTTGTAGCTATTGCTTGCCAAATAAATCATCATGCTGATTGAACACTTGGCATTACAGCTGAACTTCTAGGGTTCACCGATCGCATTCTACCCTTTGTAAATGCAACAGGCACGAATATCCTCAGAGGCGTGAATTATGCATCCGGCGGAGGTGGAATTCGTGATGAGACTGGAACCAACGTGGTAATGAGCTAGTTGTGTGTACATATGCTTGTGTAGCTTCTTCATATAATTGTCTTTTATAATTCTCCGACAATTGAAAACTGTTTTCTAAAAGCTAAACTAAACCAAACCAAACAGCCCTTAATCACTACAGACCTTAGAATCAAAGCCACACGAATTGAGCCTATATATGCATGCTAGACTCTCCTTGAAAAATAATACCACGGCAATTCCAATCAATTAGTATATTGGTACAAGTCTGCAATTGTTGCATATTTCCACTTCAACTATATATATATATATATATATATATAAAATCTGTCTTAATACCTTATTACAGGGTGGTCGGTTCAGCATGAATGGGCAGTTAGCAAATCATCAAGTGACATTGTCACGCATTGCTACTTTACGAAGAAGCACAGTTGATGAAGCTAAAGAATACGTAGGCAAGTGCATATATAGTGTTGGAATTGGTAGTAACGATTACATCAACAACTACTTAATACCACAAATCTACCCAACAAGCACCCTTTTTACACCGGATCAATATGCAGCAGCCCTTATCACACAGTACGAACAGCAACTAAGGGTCAGTACTGTTACAATTCTTATATATATATATATATACACACACACACACACATATATAGTTATATGACTTAATTGCAATTAGTACTTGTACTAGTGTCTTAATACTAATAATATTATTAATTGTTTATAATTTGGATGGTAGACTTTGTACACAGCAGGAGCTAGAAAGGTTGCATTGTTCGACGTTGGTCCAATAGGTTGCACTCCAGCAGAGATAGCCACATTTGGCACGAATGGGTCTGCGTGTGTTGATTTTATTAACGCCTACGTCACTCTTTTCAACACAAGACTCAAGACGCTTGTTGATCAGCTCAATTGTGATCTAACCGATGGAAAATTTATCTATATCAACACCACTCATATTAACTCAGGGGATCCTTCAGCTGCCGGCAAGTTATTAGCAGCAACTTTTAACATAAATGATACCTATATAATTTGTTTCCACTTTTTGTTGTTGTTGTTGTTAATATACATCCATTACAATATTATAATTAAATATATAATAATTTTAAAAACGTATCATTAATTAAAAATTTTGTTATGCGTGATATGAACTTATTTACATGATTATTATTCCCCCTCCCACACATATCTATTTCAAATTTCAATCATTTTTTGTAGTGGGCAAGGTGTAGTGTAAATTGTGTAATATTATTGATGACATTTGTTCACATGTATGTAATTTAATTTCAGGTATTACAATATTAAACGCACCTTGCTGCAGTGTATCCGCAACAACAGGACTATGTATCCCTAACAGCATTCCATGCACTAACAGATCAATTTATGCTTTTTGGGATGCATTCCATCCTACTGAGATTGTGAGTCAGCTTGTAGCCCCACGAGCGTATAGTGCTGCCACTCCCATGGACACTTATCCGATTGATATCCGCTGTCTTGCTCAGCTTCAGCTCTATTGAATGATGATCAATATTTATATATATATGTATATGATTAATAATCTAGTATCTTTGATTTGTTGGAAAAAAATCTATGATCTTTGATCTGTTGCCATTATTGCAAATAAAACGCTCTAACTAAATAAAAGTACATGTTTGAGCTATCATTTCATGTGTTATATATATACTGGCTCTGCCCCTCCATGTTGGAGATCTTTAATATTTTTGCAGGGTAGTAAATAATATCGCTCCTGATCAAATGTAAGAGGATAGATGCTTTAAATGCTAGTGGAGATGAAAAGGGGATTTTGCATGGCTGAACTCATTCATATAACAATGATAATGATGAAGATACACTTTCATAAACATGCACCGACCTGAAAGGAATGAAATGTATGTGAAACTCATAATCCATCGTAAAATAATATATATATATATATATATATATATATATATATATAATAAAAAATAAAAAATAAAAACGTGACACACTCTTTCCTGTTGCAAAGACAGAAGGGTAGCTCCTTAAAATAGGTAAATTAATAGCGGTGCATATATGAAATTGACAATATGCTATGAAGAGCAGGTTGGATATACGATTAAATCAAAATCAAAGAAATCTAGTATCCACCAAATTGTAAAAGACTTTGTCTTATATATATCTTGGTGGATCTTAGAACACACTTTAGTGACATAAGCTTAATTGCCTATACCTAGCTATATGCATGCTTTTGCCTAGTAAATTCTAATAGGGACTTGTACGGATGCAATGTATCTTGTGTTAGATATAGAGTATCAAAGCAGGAAGAGGAGAGAGAAACAAATTCGAATCTGCACCTCCCTTTGGTAAGGAAGCAAGAGCATGAGCAACCTTGTTATCTTGGCGTCGATCATTAGAGATTGAAAATCATGAGAACGATTATTTAAGGTCTGCAAGAATATAAAAAATTGGAGAATAAATCTCTACAGAACAGACATCGGCACCAATCAAGAAGTCTACAACTAGCTTAGCATCCGATTCAAAGCACACTTTCTGAAAATTGAAGGACCGAGCCCAACCAACTGCACTTCTAAAGCAAGACGCCTCCGCCAACAACGCCAAAGAGGTCAGAAAAGGTTTTAATATTACTACTGCCTGAAGAACAGCCCCCGACAAATCCTGGAACACAACACTCTCCAGCATCGACATTGCATTTGACAACTCCATCTGGAGGACAAGACCAAATATCATTAGACAAATTTTTTTGGGGAGGTTTGGAAAATATTCCTACATTTTTTCTGTGAATTGGTAAACTCCCAATAACGTTCCACTACCATATTTGAATCCTCCACGGGACTCCAATCAGCATTGTCAAACACCTTATTTCGAGCTTTTCATATAACCCATATATAAACAAAAGGAAGCCAATCCTCGTACCACACACTACCACGAGAAAGTTTTAGGGTAAAGTATAGTTACACCTCTTGAAATTTGACAAAAAGGACACTAGGAGAAAACTTACATATTTTTTAAACAAAAACACTCCTTTACAGAAATTGACTAAATTATCCTTTAACCATTTAAGAGACTTTTTTAACTTTATAATTTAATAAATTAGACCAATCTACCCTCATGAACAATTTATGCATAAAAAAAGTTAAAAAAACATTTTTTTTTTTTTTTTTTTTAAATGTCCCAACTTCTTAAAAATGTAGACGTCTAAAATGATTTTTTTGATCCAATACATATTTTTAAAATAAATTATATTTTGTTATTACTTCTTTCTTTTTCTTTTTTATTTTTAAATTAAGATGTTTAATTCTTTCATCTAAAAAAATTAAACTAATTTCTTTTCCTTAAAAATAAAAAATATGGTACCAATATAACTTTATGCATCTTAAATTATATATCAAATATTATGCATTTTCCAACATAAAAGAAAATACTATATCTCTTCTTATCTCGAATGTGTTCTCATGATTAAAATTATAAATTTTTCCTCATGCTTATTGTGATACCTCTCGATTCTCGAGTCACGAGTGATCAAGTCGGAGCACAGATCCGAGAGATATCAAACAATTAATATGTAAACAAGCAGGAATAAAAAAACTGAATTAAGAATAAAATAATAATGCGCTGAAAGAAATCTAAAAATAAAAAAAAATTACTCAACCTTTAAATAATAAATTAATATAAATTTAATCCTTTAAATCCGTACAACTCGGGAATCCATCTAGTGGACCCCTAATCCCCAAATGAAAAATAATTTACATACTGATATCCAAAACTAAAATAGAAAAGAAATCCTATGTAATCGGAAGAGTGAGTGTCTGTATCTGCATCAACACGATCAAACTTTAAGCCTGCTACTGACGAACACCTGAAAAATAAGAGTGGGTCAGGCCCACATGCAAGTTCCAACCTACTACAATCCATACATAAACCCAATACGCAGATACATCCTAGATAGCTCGGCAATATCTAAATAGTCTGTAAATATAAATATATCCACATTACAGGACATTCCCTAGACTACAGGCCTGTTTCAACCTGACTAGCAAACTTAGCAGGGCACACATCAAACCATCATAGTTAGTTATGCATCCCAATGCATATACGCTCCCTAACCATCGATCCTGAGACTTAAGCTCATATCGTGACATCATAAATAAATAAATATATATATATATATATATAAAGTCCTTCCAAAACCAACGAAGTGCCGCTCAACTGTTCATTGCCAAGACACGACATTTACTTAGGATTTAAATGTTTCAATTAAATCCCTATCCTTCCTACAAAAATAAAGAGCAAACATCCATTATGTCGTTCAACTGTTTTAATTGACAAGACATACATCCATGTAGGATTTAACTGTTTTAGTTAATCCGTTCCTTACGTATGAAGAGGTAGGACTTAGCTTTTTGATCTAATCCATCTCTAATATGCCACCGTCCTATACCGGTGCATATAATGCATATGATTCACAAATAATGCACACTCAAATGAACATCAAGTATATCCAGAAACTAGCATGATAGAAATCAGACATTATTAAGGTCTTATCATGTATCCAGTATATGTTTATAATCATAAAACTTCCATTTAAATTGTTAAAGCATTGATAGACAATTTAAACTATCCATATCCATCCAATTGACAAAACAGAAATTTCAATAGTTTATCAATTAACACCCACATCATGGTATAATGACTATCAGAAATATGACTTGAGCATATTATACTAGACATCCCTAACCATACTCTCATACTAGTTCATTTAAATTATTAAAACAAAGACTAGTAATGAAAGTCCTCCTTAATCCCTGACGGCATGAAAATTATCATTTCATTACATGACGTCCTTTTCAATCCTCCGTCTTAAAACCTGTGCCTGACATAATATTTCAACTAAGAAGTCTCACTGCACACTATATAAAACCCCAACGGTATTTTATACTTACCTAAATAAACTGGTTAAAACAAACCGGCAAATAAAAGCTCATCTACTCCTGACAGCATGCAGTCATGTATTTAAATTACATGACTTCCACAACCACAACCCAACCAACCCTCATAGAACTTAAATATATCATAAATATCTTTGATATAAAAGCCTAACAATACCTGTTATCTCAGTTAATTGAATTTGCTAAAACAGCTGGCAATACAATCCTCCTTCCTTTCGACGGCATTCACATTTAATATTTTATAATTCATGCCGTCTTCTCCAGTTAACCCCCCAACTTATACTAACTATTTTAAGGATCTAACAGGTGAATTTTAAGTATTTACAACCTCCCATACTTTCTGAAAACTCCGTTCAAGCCCCTGAAGTTAGAAAAATTACCAAAAATACCCCCGAAGGGGTTTCTGTTCAAGGGAGCCGGCTCCCCCCCATGGGAGCTGGCTCTTTATCTTCCAGAGCCAGCTCTCCCTCATGGAGAGCCGGCTCTACTTTAATGGGAGCCGGCTCCCTCACTTAGGGAGCCGGCTCTCTCCCCCTGAAAGCCGTCTCTGCTCCATGTGTCTTCTCTGCTTCGTCCGGTTGCCTTCTGCGCTTCCGGCGAAGCTTCCAGTCACTGTCCCAACACTTTTAACATTCCTAGTGTTCCATCTAAGTTCCCAAAGTCCTAGAAACTCTTCACCTTCCACTATGAATTAATTTACAAAAGTTTCAATTCATAAACAAACATAGTATGCAGGAAACTGATTTAAGTTCTTTAAACACAACAAGTTATAGTTTGCTATACATGCATCAACCATCAGTTTTAAAGTTGAATTAAACCCTAGAGACTATAAAGAATGCACAGAACACAAGTTTACAGGAAAGAGATAGACTGAAACTTACCTTTAGATTTCGTTTTGAAACCTTACAGCAGCATCGTCTCTAAGTTTCAGAATTCTCTTAGACTGCTCCCTCCTCTGACCATTGTTCCATTCCTCTGTTTTTCCTCCTTAGCTTCATAGATTAATACCACGTGAATAAGGTTTTAATGTAACCCTAGCAGACTACACAAGAATATACACATTGAAGTGTATACAACCTTTTCTATGTATCTCTGTTTTTCCTCTCAAATTACCCCTACGTGAATAGGGTTTTTCTAAAAACCCTTGCAACAACATATATCGTTCTATATATATAGACTCCTCTGAAACCCTAATCCCAAATCCAGTAATCCTAATCCTAAGTCCAACCCAACTAGAAGTTGGCTTAAACTTATATCTACAAGTTGTTAATTAAAACCTAATATACGTCAGCGTCCCAAAACTATATGAAAATAAAACCCTAACACACATGTTTAAAACAAATAACCCACCTAAGCTTCCAGATAAAAACACGTCAATTAAAACTAATAAATCAAAGAAGTAAATTTAATCACAATTAAACAATTAAATAAAACCAACCAACAAATAATTACAATTAACCAATTAGATAAAACAAATACATAATAACAATTAACCAATTAATTTAAAATAAATTAACACTAAATCAACTAAGCAAACAAACCACATAAGTCACATAATTAAATCAAAATGCTGTAAAAACAAAATTAAATTCCCTTTTTATTCTTTTGAAAACTAGAGATATTACATTCTTCCCCCCTAACAAAAGGAATTCCGTCCTCGGAATTCACAAAACGCTGAATTAATGTCTTTTTAAAATTCATTTCCGTTTTCGTGTGGTATAGCCTCTTTTAGATGAGCTCTACCAAATTCCCAACATAACCAACAATATACCAAGTTTCCATGTAAAAGAAATATAGCATAAATGTACAACTCCTAGGTTGTATCTATCAACGATCCAATCATACCCATATTTAGCGAAGGGTAACAATCCCTATTCATTCAAGTTCCATAGAATAAACCCATAAAATTCTTATGCATCCAACGCTTAACAAGTTGGTAACGTTAAACAATAGGCTACTGCCTAAACCAATAACCAAAATCCGTGAAGAGTCAGTGCGATACGTGAAACTGACCTTCCTCTAAAATACAATGTTTTGCCATGATCACATATAATATCGTGATCCGATTTCCTGTCTAGAGATGAGAAGCATAGTTGTTGCTCCAACACCTTCAAAACTTCATTGACAAAGCAGTGTTTAACTCCTATACGAGATAACCACAGACTACGACTCCGTTATCAGTGCAATGTGGAACTTGACATAACATGCCAAAACAAACACCACCAACAGTGATGTCCACAATCGAACTTACTTGATCCACGACTCCTAATTCTGATGGGAGTAAAATTCCAAGCAATGTCGGGACTTCCTACCAACCATCCCCTCCCGATCAGTCCTACTTCCATGTTGATATAGGAAGTAGCTAAAACCTCCAATGATATCCAAGTATCAATTTTTCCACTTTGCTAACAAATGATACTCCTTGAGACAGTTATGAACATGTCCCTATCCGTACCGCACCAAAACTAACATTGTATGTCATGATGCAACTCATAACTATTTGACTGCACTGTAAAATTTCACTAATTTACATCGCAGTTACTCCAACCTTACTGAAATCAGGAAGACATTACTAATCTTCCTTCAGTACCCTAAACCCATCTGAGTAAGGTATTACCTCTTGTGGGATCAGTTTAAATATTCTAAGTTAACCACCTCCATTCCCCTGGTAATAGCAAGTGTGTACACATGCTAAAACGCAACAGATTGCGTAACAACCACCGAGAGTTTAATTACCATATCGGTGAATAAAATCATCCTTCACCCTATTACTTCTACCAGACGAAACTGAATACAAAGTGTGACTCACCACAGCTATGCATCTAAGCCGTCTCGTGATCCGTGTTATTGATAGGAACTGATATCTTATTAGTTCCAAAATAGACAAAGTGAAACTGATTTAATTGTATCAGTCAACCAA